GCTTACGTTGGCTGAAATATACGCAAACCTCTTTTTATGCACATTCCTGCCAACCAGTCTGCACATTTGTTACATGTACTGTATATTACACATGTTTAATACTGAATCATGTGCTTTATATGCACCAAACTGGCCAGCAGTGTGTGAAGAGAGAATCAGGGAGGCATTGATGCGTGCTGGGCTTCTTTTTCCTAACCGAAGAAGATGAAGGCCGCATATGAAGACCTCAATATTCTCATGTTAATTTCAGAACTCAGTGTTTTCCACATCTTCCCAATCCTCTTTAAATTGACTTGTTTCAATTTTTCTCACTGGTTGCATGAACATTTTTGTAGTTTCTTCCGTCTTATCCACTTAAACTGTTTCAGTAAATGAAGCTCAACCTAAGAGGTGTGATTTAATTGTTGTACTTTGTAAGGAATGTTTTGTGATTGAAGTCTTCATAAAAAAAAAAATCGTACCTTTTTGTGTCTTCAATGTGTAATCGTGTGTGTGAGAGGGTAGAAAACAGGACATCAATGTACATATGATAGAGTGCCTCAACGTTTACTGCAAATGTAGGGGTTTATAGATGTTTATTATTTATAACATTGAATTACTATCCCTAAACGTATTTGTTGCCATTATGGCAGTTTTGACTTGATGTCCTGGTCTAATTTGACATTCGTTCCAAGCTTCTGTGCTGCCTTTGTAACAGCAGAGGGCAGCGCCTAAACATTTAAAGGACAAGAGATTGTTCTGACCAAAATAAATACTCACATCTTGAGTTTCAATAAAAATGTATCAATTAAAAAAGACACTTTGTTAATTTTTACTTAGATATGGTGGCACATGCGGCATGTATGTCCCTTTTTTGTTTCTTATACTGCAACCACTCACTTTACTTGAAGGAGAAGACAGGCTTTCAGGTTTATGATTTTCTAAAAATAAATGTACTACTTAACCCTGAACTCAAGTCTGTTTTTCCACGCCATACATTCCGGATGAAGTGGAAGTATTTTCGCTTTCATCACACTTTACTTTGGTCTATGCATAAATGATTAGGCTTCAAAATTGTTCCATTTAAATAACTAGAAAATGCATTTCCTGCTGAAAATGTGTTGAATGCAAAAAGCTGAAAGCTGAAATGAACTTGAGAACTTTATATGTATATGTATTTTAATACATTTGCTGAAATTACAGATATTAGAAAAGCTGAAATATACAGAAATGGGAGAAGCTGAAAGGAATTTCAATAGATTTGCTGAAAAAGCAGAAATGAAAACAGCTGAAATGAATGTGAAATATTGCAAATAAATACAGAAATCAATATTAAAACATTGCTGTTAATACAGGCATAATAAAAGCTGAAATTATTTGAAAGAACTGCTGAAAATACAGAAATGGGAGAAGCTGAATTTCAATAGATTTTCTAAAAAATACAGAAGTTGCAGGAGCTTAAATTAATTTAAAAAAATACAGAAATGACAAAAGCTGGGATGAATAAAAAGAGGTTTAAAATTGTTGGTAGTAATATTAGTAGTAGTAGTAGTTAGTAATTGTGGTATTAGTAGTACTAGCAGTAGAAGTAGTAATAGTAGGTTAAGTATCAATAGCAGTAGAAACAGCTGGAATACTAATATTTTTAGTCATAGTATTTGTAGTAACATTAGTAGTAATTGTAGTATTATTACCAGTAGAAATACTGGATGATTATGAACCTGTATGCGAAGGCACCAGCTTGCTACCACAATAAGTAAAGCACGCTGCTACAATGGATGGTTATGGTGGGTTTATTTCCCCTACAATAACAATACAAACATTTCAACAAACAATTACACACAAGTACAAAGACACGGGACAGGAGGACGAACAGGTAACAAGGCCTGTGGAGTAGGGCGGTGCCAGCGGCCTGTCAAAGCAAAGAAACAAAACGAAGGACCCTGAGCTTCCCTAACCCTCTAACCTACCTACCACAATCTAACCTACCACTTACCTCACTGCTACAATACACTGGGTGTCGGTCACTGGCTTCTAATCTAGTGTATCTAACAGAGGTTTTCCCTACAGGTGTATGTAGACCCCAGGGTATCTTACCTAGCCCTGCTCCACAGTGCTCTTGGGGTAAGTACATAAACACAGACCTGGGTGTACAATAGACCACAGTTTAACAAACAACATAAACCATATATTCATCCACTGTCTCATTCAATGTCAATGTCAATCTTTCCCAAAACACAAGCCCCCCCTCTCCAAGCTCTCACAAACAAACATTTTTAAAGGAGCAGAGCTGAGAGCTGGATTGGCTGGAGGAACAGCTGGCCACACCTGCATCGTCAGCAGCAACTCACCACACCTGTGAAGAACAGACTGGAAACAAAGACATCAGGGAGGAGAAAACACTAATAGAGCAGCCGGACGTAACTGTAGTACTAGCAGTAGAAGTCGTTTTAGTATCAATAGCAGTAGAACCAGCTGGAATACTGATACTAGTAGCCATAGTAGTATTTGTAATAACATTAGTAGTAGTTGTAGTATTAATAGCAGTAGAAATACTAGTAGTATGGTAGTAGAAGTATCAGTTGTAGTACTAGAAGTACGAGTAATATTCGTAGTGGGAGACAGAATTTTTGTTATTCAAACTAAGACGTTTTTAATTAATAGGCCTCATCACAAACATTACAGTAAAAATTCCCTCTATGGGGCTTTTATTTTGAAATTATTGGATTGGGTGGGGTGGGGGGGTGTAGATAGATGGAGGGTGAGAGGGTGAGGAAGGGGGGGGTGGTGAGGAAGAGATAGAGGGAGAGAGAGAGAGGAAGAGAAATAGACAGACAGACTGACTGACTGAGTGATTAACAGTGAGAAGAGGTCAGGGTGGAGGGGGGAGGGGGGGCGAGTGTCTTTATCATATTGGTCTGTTGACAGAAAGCATAGCTGCGTCATGTGACTCCACTAATCAGGTCATAGGAGCAGCTGTGAGTCACAGACAGAGATACTGCAGCGTGTGTGTGAGTAACCACGGCAACGACGCACCTGTGCTCATTAACGTGCTGCTGCAAAGGGCAGAGACAGGACAGCGAGTTACACAGAATCCACACCTCAAACAAATGACATTCAGCGCAAAACTATAACAGCTATCTAAAAAATACGGCGTTTTTACGAGACCCAAGACTCTACCGAACGCATGGATGTGCTTTTTATGTCTGTCCGGTAATAAACACGGCTCCTATGGCCGTTGACAAAACGTGTACCTTCTTGATTTTTTGAGAAATATGTCGGCAGATTTGTATTGGAGCCTATGGGGCTTTTGGCAGAGGTTGTGTCACTCTAACACTCCTTAAGCCAAAACTAAAGAACTCCCATGAACGCATTAATCCAATCAGCACAAACATGCCCTCATTAATCTGAAGAAATGAAGCCTCTAGAGTGTATACTTTGGCTGTAAGGACAGAAGTTCCATCTTTTTTTAACCAGATTCCTGCGCTGCTTCACACTCTAGCCCTCGAGGTCCCCACTCTAGCAGACGCAATACACACTCATGTAAAAGTCAGAAACGGAGCGAAGAACTAGGGAAACATAATCAGTGATTATGAAAAAAGTACAATAGATATCAACCAGCAGTTTTTTTCATAAAATAGTTGAAACATGTGTCATCATTTGAAAGTTTAAATGGTGTCTGTAGCTGAAAGATTGGCGAAGCTGAAGAATCTGAAAGTTGAAGAAGTTGAAGAGGATTTGAAAAACGATCTCCATTTGAAAACCATGTTAAAATATGAATGATTATTGATTTATATAAATTCAAGCTTAAGAGGTAGAAAGCTGAAAAGTCATAGCCCTCAAGCCAGAAAGGAGCTGAACATTTTAATATTTGAAGGATTTTAATAGCTGAAAGTGTGAAGGAGTTGAAAGGTGCGGCGGAAGAAATAAGTTGTTGGAATAAAGATTCGAAGAACAATAGTTGGAATGCTTAATACATTCCAACAAATATATAACATGACGCAGCTAATGCCATTTTTCTGGTAATAAGGTAAACAAGAGAAATACGAGAAACAAACATATCTCAACATATATTTATTGTTTTTAAATGTATTGATATTTAAACATATAAAGAAGATCCTGATCCGGGATCTACCTATTCACCAAGTGATTTCATTTCATAGAATATTTACTCTGATTATGTCATAATCCAAATACCTCTTCAATTCCCCATTTTAAGTATTGAAAGTATTGTCGCTTAAGCGGCACGTGAATCCACATAATATATAGTCCGGTCTCCTAAAAACGAGGGATCCATGTCGGGCTTTACTGGTGACCTTGCCCGATGGTACAGCTCCAATGCGCGAAATGTATTTCATGGTACTGAAAGCTTAAAGGAAGTATGTTCACCCCCACAGTACAAAACAACCACACGATCAGCAGCAACCTAAAGGAATACTTCTTTTAAATCCGTGACTGATACTCTGGTGACTTCACAGTTGTTGGATGTCCGGAGGAAACGTATGTGGAGAGCAAATATAAGTTGAAATTAAAACTTCAATCATTTACCTCTCTCGGACTCAAAGCTATTCAGTCAACAACCCTGGAATACATTATTTTCACACCCCACGTCACCTTACAAATAGGTCTAATAAAACTGTGCATTACAGTTACCCGCTGTTTATCCTGCGTCATTCATAATATCATATCACATCATGTAATGATGTCACAGAATTCATAACAAGGCGGTCGTTCTAATTGAAATAGCCGACGTACGGGCAGCCGTGGTGGCTGCCCGGGGACACCCAGCGGCATTAGGAGTATTAGTACCCGGCGTCTCCTTTAGGGGATGTAATGGGATTTCGGAGGGGGGGGTCTCAAATCCAGTCCGGGTGTTCCGACCTGCTCCCTGGTCACTTGATCCGTAGCACTGTGCGTTTCTGTGGGAGAGAGAGAGAGAGAGAGAGAGAGAGAGAGAGAGAGAGAGAGAGAGAGAGAGAGAGAGATGGAGAGAGGGAGGGAGAGAGAGAGAGAAGCCGACTCTTGTTTACAGCAGAGATCCCACGGAGGATCGCGGACCCGCAACGCTGCGTTAACTCAGGGCGAACCGCAGAACTCCAGCCTCTGGATCCACACGCGCAACGGGACCCTCTGTTTGCGGTCTTCTTCTTTTAAAAAAATCTTTTAACAAACCCCCCCCACGAGGATTACAGAGAAAACCCGCATAAAGGGCAACTCCTTGTGGACACGTTTCTCCCTCTCCAAACCCCAGCCGAGGTCGCGTGTGACGCCGAGGAGCTGGAGACACGTCTGGTGTTTTCCTACTCCGACCCGAGGAGAGCAAATTGGTGTTTTGGGGTTTTCATTCATTTTCCACCTCGCGGCCACCACCCTGTGGATCTGGACGTGTTTTCGGCCCCGGTCCTTCCCTCATACACAACAACCGCAGGGGGGTTGGTGTTAGAAACACTGGCGTTAATTTATTATGGTGGAAAAGGCTGCCACGGATAACATTTAGTGGGATATCTGTTGTACCGTCAGTGTCGGGCCTGATTGCATTGTAAGCGCACTGCTGTTTACAAGAGATGGAGACTGAAGATGGGGATTACCATCATTTATCCAGTAAAATCACTGGCTCGTGTGCCATACTAGCCGACGTCAAAGTATCCCGTGATTGGCAAAAATAACAAAACTGTTTTAGGCTTTTTTTATCCTTCAGAGGAATATCTTGTTCCTGCGATTTTGTAAACATTTATTCATATTTTTCAGAGTAAACCCTGGAAGCCACGCATTTGCGGGCTATCTTGGGCTACAGACATTTTTTTCCCTCCATATTCTTTGCAGGGCTGGTGTGTACAATTATTTAATTTCAATTCCATCCCTGCTTTTTATTTTCAAACGGAGAATGATGTTGAAGAACATGAGCTGTGGCACACGGATGCGCAGCGCGACCTTGTTTTGGGGGCTGCTCTCCTTCTCTACTATCTGCATCTGGTCCACACATGGAGAGAGTGAGTATTTTTCACTATAATATTTTGTTAAAGTTTATTGTTACGCATGGGTTGACATGTGCTTTTTTGGAGGGGGGAAGGGGTGGTCTTGGTTCAACCTCTTATTGCAGTCGTTTGCTGACTGGTGGAATGAATAATGAGTATTTATTAAAAACAAACTAGGGGAACCGCATTTTTTTTACCACTAGGTCCTAGATACTCAATGTGACAAATCTGATGAGCATGTAGCCACCGACATGCGAATTTTATTTGAGGACCATGTGGCACATCTGCGCGTCACGCACGCAACATCTGCTTTATTGTGCGCATATCGCCTCATTCGATGAAGCGGCTTTGATGACCGGAAGCTTACGGACGTGGTAACATTCGCGTTAGACATCCAGATAGCAAAGGGATGAAATCTAGGGACCAGAGCTGAAGGTTACTACGACCATGTGGCCATTTTGCATTTCGTGGCGTCGCTGCGCACGAGAAGGAAAAAAACAACCCTAAATCACATTTAGCTCCTTTAAAATGCCATATTAAAAAAAAAGAAACCACAAAATGCAGGCAAATAATTGAAAAGGCTTTCTTCAGCCGACTATTTTTCATAAACACCGCGGATGATTAAAGCGCCTCGGTGACGTTACTCCGTGTGAAGCTATGTGGCGTCTGGATGAACACGCACGGGCTGCTGCGCGCACGATTCTTATTCGAGTCCTCGCATCACGTTCTCACACTCATGGAAACACTGCGGAGGTAGAAGTGTCTCGAAAAACATGGAATTTTAGTATCGACACACTTTACATATACAGCCACGTGTGTTGAAATAAAACACTGAGGAAGACGTGAGTTGATACGATTTCCGTTACCAACCAATAACTTAATTGCACTGATTTTTCTCTTTGAATCCGTGTGGGAAACTTCAAAGTACTTCCTCTTTAGTCGTGCTAAAAGTTCCTGAGCTTTTAGCAAATTCAGTACCCTTGCTGTGATTTAAATGTTTTGTTTTATGGTCTTTACATTCAAAATGCACCTATCAGTGCTTCAGCCAGCATATTGTACATTACCTTTAAAATAAATCTCAAAATGACAACTTGGCTTTTCAGTTAAAACTCTCTAAATACGATGTTGTACAAAGATGATGCCATATCTGCCTTTTCAGAAAGTCTAAACTAGCTGTAGTTTCCGAAAGCCAACTCTCTCGCACAGAGATTGTGGCTCCGCTCAACTTGGGTGGCATGCTCTGTTTTTGTGTTTTAGTGTGTTGCATCACTTCCGTACTAATTTGCCTGTTTCCTAAGAGGACATGTGGGATGGTGGAGATGCCTTGACATGGGAAGGAGACATATAAACTGACCTATATTAGCATTCAAATAGAAGAAAAAACCCACTGACTATCCGGTCTGACTCCAGCCACGCAGAGGAGCTTTTCTGTGCCACCTCCCTGAGTTGATGAGACAACCACGACTGGGCCTGGGACCAAAGTGGGTGCTCTCACATCTCAATGCTTTGTGACGTATAATACATCACGCCTACCAGAACAAAGCAGGAAGAGACAAATACTGTGGTAAAGATCAAGACAGCGAGGAGTCTCGGTCTATTGCTTGGGGGGTGGGGGTGGGTTAGTTCACTGGGCTGCCGAGTCAGACTGCATCTACAATCACGTAGTGGAAAAAAAATCACAGATAGATTTTGCTGTTCATACGGAATGGTCTCCCGTACACCCCGATGCGCTTAACTCCATCACTTGGCGTCGTCACTATCAGCGTTAAAAATAGATATATCGCCAACAACGCTGGCCCCGGGGTTGTGAGTACAAGCACCGTCTGTCCCATTCCCCGAGGGCACACCAGTGTTCTTGTTTGGTTATATATGAAGGGACACGCTGCTCTTGAAAACCTGAATGGCAGCATAAATAATCAAACGCCAGCAAGCATTGTGCTTGACGTGCACTCGTCCCCATCGCTCCATTTGGGGTCGTGATCCGGCAAGTGACTCTGATAAAAGCATATCTATATGTGTGTATGTATAGATATATTTATTATGTTGTCTTTTTTAAACGGACGGGGACAGTGTGACTAACATGCCAGTGGCTCAGATAACTCTCACTGTAACGCTAACGCTCACTGTAACTCTACTCCAAGGTGTCCTACTCCATCTTGTGACCGGGGCGACATGGTTACATGCACTCGCCCCTCCAGCATGCGTTCCCTCCCCATATCCCTGGCGAGGCTTGATGCAGGAACGCCAAGTGTAGTGTGTGTGCGTTAAATAGCCCTATGTTGTGCGTATTTGTGTGTGTTTTGTGCATGCACTGCAGCAGGACAGAGTCAGTGGCGTGCACCCCCCCCCCCCCTGTATAAGGACGTTAAAGTGTGTCACTGGGCTAGTTTGTGAGAGTGCAGTGAGACGCTGTCGTGCAGCTCCTCCAGGCTGCCAGCTGAGGTTTACAATGCTTAATTAAACACTCTGTTTCAAGTGGCCTGCTTCGGATTTGCGCAAACGCAGTCTCTGGCCAACCGCACATACATCATCATAACAGGCTGACGATTTAGTGGCTCATGGAGTGTTGTCCAATTTATGATTGCAAATATTAGCTTCTACATTGGATGGCACCTGGTGGGTCGATCGAAAAGCAGGTTCGTCAAGACTTGAACGTGGATCCTCCCCCGGTTGGAGATCTCTTCTGCCAAAGATTAAGCTTCAAGGTGTTTTCAGAATCGCAGCGAGAAACCACTTCCTTTTGTCGTGTTGTTGTTGTTTCAATCGTGAGACCATCAGTTGTTTATTTATATTTAATGAGGAAATGAAGAGGCCGTAAATGCTGGAGAGCAAGTTGTTTTTTATGTGCAAATGATTTTGCATCACTGCTGAATTAAAATATAGCAATTAACTGTCATGCCTGATTATTCTTCGTACTTTGTTTTCTTTTATGGATTTCACTGATATACACCAGTGAGGGCCATAGAGTTAACATGACAGACACACAAGCAATGTTAGGAAAAATTATATTTGGCTTTGACTCATATAAATGATTTAATGCTACCATGCAATTAATACATCTTATCACCGCTTATATTTAAACACTAATAAGAGTTCCTCAATTTCCATTATCTTGAAAGTTTCCTACAAGCTTCATTTGTTGTAGCCATTTTCCCCTTGATAAAAATATCTCCAAACCATATTTCTTTGTAATGGATCAGCACATTAAATGTAGTCGTTCACATTGATCATGTTTCCTGTTTCCTTATTTTGGGACGCGTAAGGGAGGTTCTTTGAGTGAGATTTGTTGTGATGGACAGTGTAGTGTTACTGTTTGGGGTTTTAGTGAAACTTGAGCCACAGTATTTGAAGTAAGGTCCGCTGAGGGGAAGTGGCCCACCAGACTGCTGGTCAGATGACTTCCAGTGTGCTGGGGATTGGGCCACTTGATGTGGCAGGTGTGAGGTGATATTACCACACTGCGACCAGTTCCCTCGCTCCGTCAACAAGTACTGGATTTTAGTGGGACATTTGTTTTTCTGTTGTTGTTCCTATGGTTCAGTGAGTAAATCTTCACCGTGTAACGTTCTCATGCCATGTTACATATATGCATCGATACACAGCTCTCAAAGCGAGTGCTTTGGGTTCGCCCATGGACCAGAGCCAATTGTTGAAATGAAAAATCTCATCTAATGAAATAGAAAAACGATCACACATTAATTCACACATTCATTTTGATAGGTATCAATTAAATATTGACTAATACAAAACGATGATATCAAATGAGACATTTTTAACATTTTCTTTAATAGAAAATGCATATTTCATTTAGTCTATTTGGAGCCGTGCGGGGTGAAAACCATGCAGACAACGTGGTATTTTCAAAACTAATAAAGTATTTTTTTTTTTGAGTATTTCTTTTGTATTTGTTATGTTTTTATTCTCTATATATATATATACTATAAATACTAGTGGTTTTACTTTACTATAATTCTATACAATTTATTTTTAGTACTTGTATCCTCCTTGTTTCCCATCATTCTTGTATTTTTGTATCCTCAAAAATCAATAATTTCCTTCAAAAGAGCATCGATACACTAAAAACAAATTTCTTCAGTAAAAATACAAAAGATTTGCTGCCCCAATGTTTTTTATATGAATATTTAGTTTAACATAGTAACTATTCAAAGGACCTTCCTGATAACCTTCATGGAATTTACAGCTCGATGTATGTAAAAAGGATAAAATGATCAGTATCACCAATGCTCAGTTAGTCTCTTTGATAAACATTGTTTTTCAGGTTTCAGTTTCATGATTCTGAATCATAGTTGATGTGAAGTCAAGATAAACACTGACCATTAGTTTTGGCTTTATTTAGCTGACTCAGGCTTGTGTGTGTGTGTGTGTCTGTGTGTGTGTGTGTGTGTGTGTGTGATGACATTTCCCTGGAGGGCCATGGCAAGGTTTATCAATCATAAACATGAGCCGTTGGATTGCATTACGCTGTGAAGATATGTGTGTTTACTCAGCAGTGTAAAGCACGAAGACACGCACATGCGGTCATATCCCTCTTCGTGCACAACAATGCAAAAAGTTCACTACTTAATACTATATATAGTACCCGTAACAACATCAGCACAATACTTTCTCTTTCAACCACTTCTTCCTGTCGATGTAGCAATAGGTAACGCATTTGTGATCCAAATTTGGTTCAGCCGTTGTGGTCTTCACAATAAATAGATTGAGTGGAAAGAATGAGAGAAGCTGTTTCTCTTAAAGACTGTTTTTTTTGTTGGTTTGAAACAACATTCTACTCAATCCCTTTCCAGGGAAATGATTGAAATTCCTGGTACTTAACATACTTAATGAGTACAACAAGGGATTCACAAAGAGGGTGGCGTTTCTTCCATTCTGCATTTATTTGCTCTATTCTTCTCTGCAGCAGTTTTTTAAGGATTCATCTAATTGGGGATGGCGATGAAAGACAGGAATATTTAACAACCAGAAATACTTTTCTATCCATATTTATCTTAGTTTCTGTTGGGTTTTTACGCCAGTAGGGAGGCCTCTCATAGCTACGCAAAGCAGAAACATCTCTCATTCTTCAGTGTCTTTTTGCCCCCCTTCACTTTCCCCGATTCTCTGCCGAGATGCCCCCTGATTTTAATAATGCCCTCGTCAGGAAGTGGAGCCTAGAGTTTCTCTTTACTAACAAACAAATTAGTCTTTGTATTGGAGTGGCTCCTCCCCTCCTCCCCTTCTCCTCTCCGGCTGCCAGAGGAGCCAGGAGAAAATTCTCAATGAAACAAAGAAGACATGCAGTTCGATGGCTCACAAGTGGAGCCCCGGGGCATTGGTGTTGATTGGAGAAAGCAAATACAATTTTCTTGTGGAGTAATGGTTTCCGCTCTAAATTTGGAGACGTGAAGGGCCCTGACAGGACCAATAATAGCCACCGCAACCACATAAACAATGCAGCTTCTATTTTTGGAAGAATAGTTTGGACGAAGAACCTAAATGAGGGCCTTTTTTGTTTCTGCTGAGGGGAAGTTAATCTACTCACAGGGACCTTCTGACAGCACCCATCACACACATCATCTGGTTTAATATAATTATAATTATATATATATATATTATGAAAGGACGCTTTTGTCATTTAAAAAAAGTGGTTTCATCCATACAACCATATTAGAAAGGCATCTGGTGGCACAGTATTTTAGCTCTTGAAACAGTTCAGCTCTTTGCGTTATCCCTAGGGATTTAAAAAGGATCAAAGACTTTGATTAAAAACATGCCTGTTATTTCTTTTGGACAGGCGCTGTGAGTGTCTCTCACTGCATTGGCCTCCCAAGCCTCTGTAAGAACATAACAGGTTTAACCGAGGAGCTCATATGTCAAGGCATTTACTGTACTGACTGTTGAACCTTCTTTTAGACCGTTCCAAATATTATGCAACCTGTCAGTATGTGCCAATTCTATAAATATTCTATATTATTGTTCATAAATAGTTATTTCAACTATACTATGTGCAGTTTGCAACTAAGTTAAAATCGTTATTTAAAGAAGAAATTACTAACCTAGTTACTTCCTAGTTGAAAAAATATCTCCACGTATTCAGTCACCTGTAACACCTTTATGTATGAACTCTTACGTATCACAATTCAATTGAGAGTACAAAACTATTTAACAATTAAGCAGAGAGGTCCAACAAGTTTCCCAAAATTAAAATAAATGGTAGAAATAATTACATTTAGGAAGCTAAAATAGTGGACAGATACTTCAGAGGCCTGGCTAAAAGTAAAAACATGTTTTAATGGTTACATTTGTTTTGCTATAAATGGTAAAAAATGGTTGTATTCTTAATTTTGGTAATGCTATGTAAAGGTTGAACCAAAAATTCCGAAAGCCCCCCAAAACGTTTTCTGTTGCCGACTGCACTGTAGCTCATAAATCTGTGTAATAGACGTTAAATCAATTTGATCGTGTTGTTTCTTTGGTCCCTTCAGCCAAACCGCTGCCGCAATGCTACGCGTTAATGCAGCAGAGAGCGGCTCGTGATTAGCTCGGGCGATTGTGTGGGTGGGATTTCGCTAGAAGTGGTTTATTAGTTAAAATGGTTTGTTAGCTGAAAGTAACGACTAAAGTTGCACTTAGTGAAGAATAATTGCTAGAAGATGTTATCTAAAAATAATATTTTGCACTCGTTGGTATAAACATTTCAGCTGCATTATTTAAAATGTTTCAATATCTGATTAAACAAAGATTCAGCATGAAAGCCATTCAATAAAGGTTTTTTGCAACATGATCGTGGAGTCGGTGAAGCGGCCCTAGATCTCGCTTCAATAGACGAGGCTTTGAAGGTCTATCAGACTAGAAAGCTGCGTTAGAGCACAATAAACTGTGTGTGGTTTTTGAGAGCGCTCCAGGCGCTGGTTTTGAGTGTTATTTTCTAAAGATTGAGGAATGGCTCATTCAAATGCTGAGGTTATCTGAGGTGACAAAGTTCGGTTTGTACTTGATATGACGGATAGAGATACAGATGGTCCTTTCCACGTTTTACCCTTCTGAAACTCATTGTGAATAAATATTTATTTTTCATTTTATACAATGTAGCTTCAAATATTATTGATACCTCAAGAAGCTTATTATATTTTCCAGCAATTGCTGTATTTCCTACCAAACAACATTTGTTACATTAATTTCGGATGCAAAAGAAAATCTGTAATTCTCTCCATTGCACATAAACCTTCATGTGTCGTCCTTCTCTGTCTATTCCAGTCTGTGGTCCGAGTATCGACATCCGCAATGACATTGAGGAGTTTAAGCGGCTGCTGAACTGCACGGTGGTGGAAGGCTACCTGCAGATCCTCCTCATCAACGACAAGACCAACAACATCCAGCAGGAGGCCTTTCGCTCCCTCTCCTTCCCAAAGCTGACCGTCATCACCGACTACCTGCTGCTGTTTCGCGTCTCGGGCCTGGACAGTCTGAGCATGCTCTTCCCCAACCTGAGTGTCATAGGGGGGCGAAATCTCTTCTACAACTACGCCCTGGTGATCTACGAGATGACCAGCCTGAAAGACATAGGCCTGTACAGCCTGAGAAACATCACTCGAGGAGCGCTGCGGATCGAGAAGAACCCTGAGCTCTGCTACCTGGACTCCGTGGACTGGTCTCTTATTATGGACGCCGAGTTTAACAACGTCATCAATGGGAACAAGAAGGCAAAGGAGTGCGACAACGTCTGCCCAGGCATCATGGAGGATAACCCTTTTTGCCGCAGGACGTCGTTCAATGACAACCTCGACTACCGCTGTTGGACCTCCAGTCAGTGCCAGAAAGGTAACCTGAAATATGTTCGGCCTTTGTTTTATATTTAATCCCAGCACATAATGAACGAAGCAGCTGTAGATGATTTTAAACCACAATGGGCAACATTTTGTGGTATAATTATATTAAATGTAAATGGAGTGAAGGACGGCTGCAATATAGAGCAGTAGGTATTAAACAGGCATACTCAGCTGAGGTTAACGTTGCTCTGCCAAGAAATGAGCTTGTCTACCTGTCTGGACCCTTTCAGCTAAATATTTGCCTTGGGATTTTTTTTGCAATTTATGAAAAGGGTTATATTGAAGAATTTGGGGGGAGTGTATTCCTTGTATAACTTTGGCCCCGCGGTACGGTAATGCATTTTTTAAAAACGGTTCAGAGGAGGGTCATGTCGTCAATCTATTCACGCCGCTCTCACGGCAAGTGTGCAGCTCGTGGCAACATCTACACCGCTGTTACTCTCTCAGATTACAGAGGGCGAGACAGCTCGTGCATTTTGATTAGAAATTGGGACAAGCAGATCAGCTGTCTCCCGCCTCTTCAAATATACTGTAGCATGCAGTTGCAGCCTATTTAAATGTATTCATCTATGCTTTATTTTGTAACATTTCTTCAAGGGTGGAAGAGGGTTTTCAGAGGGTTTTTATCAGTCAAATTCCTTCACAGAATAAGACACAATTCGCAAATCTCAAGAGTTGAAATGGTGATATAAGATTACAACTAAAAAAACTGTGCTGGATACAAAATATCTAAAAGATGCCAATGCCAGTGGCATTCTAGAGGTTTTTATTAAATGATAAATTAAATGGATTTTGGAAAGCTGCTGCTTTGCTTTAAATGGTTTTTATATGAGATTTGAAACAATGTTGCGTCTTCAAGGTTGCGTACTATTTACCTTTCATTGCTCTCTTTCATAGATACATTAATACATTTTGTTACTTGATAGAGACTGGCCTCTTATATCCGCCCCCCCTCTGAATACCCATACTCTGTCATGGAGTTAATGGAAGATTTACAGATATTCTATTTTCTTTGTTAAAACAAAATATGTCAATCTAGACTGTAGTTTTTGCAAAAGAAACTGTTGTTTTCTCCGTTCTCTCATCTGTGTGAAAGAATGGTGGGAAAGTTCCTCTGGCTCTTTTATTAAAGACCTGTGTACAGCTCCCATGGTCAGTCTTAAACCCCACCCTCCTTCATCCCCGTGGACCCTCAGAACAAATAGTGGAAATCAAGCATGTGTCTTTTCCCTGGTGATATCTAACGCTATTGAAATGTTACGTTGTACATTTATTGTTACGCCTGTTATTCTCTGCATTGACATGTCCGAGTTCCCTGCATGTTGTTATCGCTCCTGTAATCTGTATACAGTTGCCGAGTGGATTTCAGAAATAGTTTTCATATGAACACCTTTGTTCATAAAAGGAAAATATGCCCTGTGTACATTGTGAATGACCTTGAAGTCACGCGTAGTGTTTTGCAGTCAGTAGTTCTCATGTCTACAACTTGAGAGACTTGTTGTTTGAACTGGTTTACTTCTCTGTGAGGCCGAGGTGAGGGTAAATGCATTAGAGGGCCCTGGGCTCTCAAGGCTGCAGATAAATGCTCTGGGGAATAACGCAGTGGGGAAAAAAGGAGGGGTTACCCATGCAATAATAGAACAGAATGAAGCTAAAGTAAGTCTGTAAGTATTTCAGGCTTCCTTCCTGCGCAGATAACATTTCTCACCCTGTCTTTTTATGGCTTGATGCGTCTACCTCTCTGCATCCTGTTTGAGATTGCCTCCCTCCAGCCCTCTGCATAATTGTCTTGTTTTTCACCAGTACAGATGTTCCTTCAAGGGCATTCAGTGGTCTTTATAGTCAACATGGCCCGCTCTGCTCTTTAATTACACCACACGAGGGGGGAGCTCTTTAGCCTCTGGGTCCTAAGTGTTTTACAGAGCAACAAAACTCCTTTTTCCACCTACTAAACACCTTTTTTTTCCCACAACAGTTTTGGGTGTATTAGATTAACGTATGATGCTGGACAGAAAAAATAACTTGAAAGTGAACTACCTACATGTGGCTGAAGGGAAGTGTGCGGGAGTGAGTACGGAGGCACGTGCAGATCGGAGCAGAGGTTCTGGGTTCTTTTCAGTGGCATGCAGCGACGGGAAGAGGAGACTGAGGGGCGATACGCGGGAGGAGGGTGAGGGGAAATGTCAGACAAATGTCAAGTGTACAGCAAGCTCTCACTAAAGCACAGTGCGAAAATGCGCCCGTCACTCCACATTGTGCTCCCCCTCCCCTCCGTCCTTCTACCCCCCCATGCTTCCTCCCAAATCCTCCATATGTTCTCTGCTGCTGCTGTCTGTCTGTTGCTGCGTCTCTTAACACTCCTCTTCGCTGAGCCTCCTTACCTGAACTCTTTTGCCGCGGGGCTCATCGGGGCCGTTAACAACTCCGCCCGTCAGATTTCTCTGCTCTGTTTACTTGTTGGGAGACACTCTCGTCCCCGCAGCGGTCACAGTCAAGTGTCTTGTTTGGCCAAGCCGTGGAGCCTTTGCCATAGCGCACTGTTTGCTTTGAGCTTCGGGGGATCCCGTGACCAAAAACTGGACTGCTTCAAATAGCCCTCTCAGGTCTCTGTGTCTGTGTTGTCTGCAGACAGGCCTCCCTTCTGCCCCCCCAAGCCGAGCCAAAACCAGGCGTTAAAACGGGGCGGACAAGCAGGGAACCGTGCTGCTGTGTCCGTTCCCAGTCTCACGGCAGGTTCACCTTCCCAACTCCTCGAGGAGGCACGCGCTTCTCACACAGTATTTCACACGCGGCCTGCATGTCTTCTTGTGAGATGGAATGCTGGGTTGTCAGATTTGAAGGAACAATGCCTGCTGAATATCGTATTTCATATGAACAGAAGATAAGTCTGACTGTGAATGTTTAGTGAATCGAATACTGGCTTTTGCTCTTGATAAAGCAAAACTGTGTTGGACTTGGTGAAGCTACAGTGAGTTAACCTGAAATTTGAGGTGACAAACCCTGGTATTGAATACAGAAGAAACATAGAATATCATTTTGAAGCCATAGCCGCAGGGAGCTCCACACTGGCCTGGTAGACTTTTGCGTTCGATAATATGTTTATTCCCTCCTTGCCAGAGATCCACTTCATGTGTTTGGTATGAGTGATTTGACCTACGGCCACTTCACCGTAGAATACATTTTTCTGCGGTGTGATCTCTTTGAATGGAGCAGATGAGGCTGTCGATATTTTCTTATCAACAATCTATTTCTTAATGCTTTCTGATTTCCCTCCACGGTCTGTGGCACTCAGCCCCAATCCCATTGGTTCTGACTAAAATTTTGGTCATAAATGCATTCATTTTGTTGTACAGCTGTAGGTCGTAGCAGATTCTAAAACAAGATTTCTAAAACAGTAAAACATTGGGAATTTGAGCACTATTTGTAGGCTCGGATTCGGTACACTAACCAGTATTTATAGCACCAGGATGGCATGTGTTAGTACAGTTCCCATCTTCATCATAATATAGGAATCTAGCTGGGTGTTGGCTACACAGACAATTCTAGAATTTGTTGTTGGTTTTAGTCTTTACTTGAGATTTAATGAAAATAAGAAAACTATACAATATCACAATGCTTTATCTTCAACTATGTTAACCGAAATGTATTTCATTTTGGCTGCACTGGTGGTGTTTTTCCTGACTCACCATGCTAATTCATTTATTCAAAATATTATTGACAAGAACATGATTTAATCAAAAACAGAATGCAAATCCTCCTTTCCCCTCAGAGGAGAATTGTGAATTGATTTTCTGGAGTTACCACATAGCTCATGCATCTCAGTGTCAAGATTAGTTGCAGAAAGATCGAACCAAGTTGAAATTATGCTCCATTTATTGATACCTCAGGAATAAGGCATGCATGTTAACTTTGGTGGAATGAGGTAGAAATTCCTGGTACCTTACTTATTGCAGTTGTGAGGGGATAGGCAACATTTGCGGGGCCATACAGAGACTGTTTGTTGGCAATGAGACGGATGATATTGATGCTGTGTTTGATTGAGGTGGCCGTGTTCTTATGATCACCTATCGTTTTAAGTTAAACCAATAGCAGACACAAGGAGGCTTTTACATTTTGAATTGTTTGTTCTGAGGCTTATAAAAGCCCCCGGGGTTACAGGGACAGGATGTAGAAGCGGACTCAAATTCCAGTTTTGATAGTACGGTGCTTTCCTCCGGGCACAGTGACTCAGTACTCATACATCTGTTAAGGTTTCAGAAGCTCTCGAGGGAGGACTCAATCCTTTGTTCTCGTCCCGGCCGGAAACGAGGACACGAATGAGTCAATTCGTTTAAATTCAAAAATCAAAAGTTATTTAATAACTGAACAACGTAATAGGGATTACAATTACAAAGTGAAATACTAAGCGAACAGTGGAATATTTCGCGAAATAGAGAATCCTCTGAGCAAGTCTGAAGGGACTTATCAACGCGGCTGCAGGAGAAATTCTAACAGTCTTTCCCCCGCCATGGCCCTTTGAAACCTCTTGAGGTGTGTCTTCCTTGGTGCATTTGAATGTCATTGGCCTCTTCTCCAAAGGGTCACCTCCTCCATTGTCCCTTCCACGTCGAGGTGTGAAGCTGCAGCTGTAACCTGAAACCTCTCTGTCCTAGCTGTCCCTCACACTCCAATGCACTCAATGTAGATACATTTGGCTTTATGCCCCAATGAGTGAATTTAACAAAGCATACGTCGTTTAAGTCTTCATCTTATAACTAGTACACTTTCATTACAACAACCCATCATTAATGATCACCGTTCATCACACTTCATCTTAAGATCTAAGACAGTTCATGTGGTTCAATTCTCAAGACATTTGCCTCAGTCGGCTGCCTTGCAATAAGTTGTTCATTTTATTACCTGACAGGAGAAAAAACTCCCAAAAAACCCTCTTTGGGGATAAAATTGGGAGAAATCCATAAAGAACGGCAATTGGCATCCGTCCCCAGGTTT